GCAAAAAAGGTTGGAGACCGCTGGGCTAGGGAGCGTGGGGAGCCAGAGCTCCGTCCCCCAGGGCATGAAGCAGGTATGGACTTGACATAATTTTTAGGTACACTTTATTAGGTACAGTTGTTTAGCTACTCATGAAAAAACATCTAATTAGTAAATCACATCGTTTAGACACGATCTAAGCAACCAGTTGAAGCTAAAAACTGAGCACATGAAAGGTGATTGAAATGACTCAGCATCAGAACTCTTGGAGTTACTGTAACTGTGCTGAGAAGGATTAAGATGAACCTGATACCAGCAGCGTGTAACTAACTCAGGCTCACTGTCAGTCTGGACAGCGCTCAGCCACAAAGCACTTCAGTGTTTGTTGACACCAAAGTTGTTATAGTTTTGTCTTTTTTAATTATTCATTATTTTGATTTCATTTTTTTTGTTTTTATTTTGCTTTAAATTCAGTTTAGTTTCAATCTCCAGAGTGACTTTGTTATTTTCAGTTAAGAAATGATTATTGGAAATGTCTTTATTAATTATTATTGTATGAAGGACATATATAGAAGGCACGAAGAAACAGTGCAAGCTTTTGTAATAAAACACAGAACCCTTTAAAAGCCGGTGAGTCAGTCTCAAATACATCCATCGTGGCCTCACAAGGCCAGTTCTGATAGATTTTTACCATTTTCAGCTCTTTTTTCCACAGGTCTAGTTTTTATTTTTTATTGATTAATCAAATTAAAATGCTTCTTCACATTTAGTTTCAGTCAATTGTAATAACCCTGGTTCAGTCACAGCCTGTACTTTGTTTCAGCCTCATGGTGGCGCTGTGGAAAGCTAGGTAACCCACAAAGGCATTAACTCTTTACTAAGTTTTATTCGCTGATAATTGTGTGAGACCTGACATATCGCAAAAGTCTGCAAAGATTCTACAAGGTGACGTTACAGGGATGTTCAGTACTATTTACAGCCACTTCAGTCCACTGACTCTGAATGCTGGGATGGGCATACTTCCCTCAGAAGTGCTGATGTTTTTCCTTTTGTGTGAGGATGACTCGCATAGATGTCAGCAGTGATACTGATTACAGAGGTCAGAAATATGTCAGTCAGAGGGGAAATATCATCCTGAGCTAATGACGATGCTGTGAACAGGAAATTCATGGATCCCATGTGAGAAAAGAGCAGTTTAAAAAATGTAGTAATAAGAAGCCAAACCTGCTTCACTTCCACAAACGTAGAGTCCAGAGGCTCCTCCAGAATCTAATTTGTGGAAGCAAATGTTTACGCTGTAAACAAGCTTTCCAGCTCTGCAGCCTCGTCACAGTTATTCCTGGCCTGGGATGGACTGGGACAAAACACCGGGCATTTTGACTAGAGACGGGCCCACCAGGTATTATAGGAAAGGCCATAAAATCTTTGAATGAAAACAAACACTGTTGTGACTTTTCTTTCTTATTGTCATTTAAAATGTGTCGCTTTTAACAAATAATTATCTGAATCTTTCAACCAACGTTTTCATCTGATGTAAAATGTATAGAAATCATTACTCTATTCAGTAAATATTAAGTCTAGTATATATCCCAGTAAGTTATAGTATTCTTTACTTTGTTAAGGCACCATCTGTGCAGTCTGCAATTCTGTTGAAGAAAGATGTTGAATCTATTTAATTACTGGAGAAAAATAATAGATTTATGTG